AATGCTTGTTCAGATTTGTAATGAAAGGAAAGGGGGTGGAGACAGGGGAGCATTTGTGAATCTAGAATAATGGAAACAATCTTTTGGAAGGTAGTTATTGTATCGTTGTGTCCAATCATATTTCTTTTAACTTGAAAAAATGTATATTCATTAAAAGATACTTAATAGACTTTACTTATATGTAATTAATCTAGAGAGATCAACTCTTTCTAAGTTGTCAGATTTCTGTCAATACTAAGTTTGGTAGACAAAAATGCTCATAATCATTTTGAACTCAAGTTTGGAGAATTTTTAGACAGTCATCCCTACTGCTTTTACTTTTATGTGGTGAACAGCAAATCTCTGTTATCTGATGGCCACTTTAGAAAACCCATAGGCAGGGGCACCTGGGTGGCTCAGTTGGTTGAGTGCCCAACTTCAGCTCAGGTCACGATCTCGCAGTTCGTGAGTTTGAGCCCCACGTCAGGCTCTGTACTGACAGCTCAGAGCCTGGAGTGTGCTTCAGATTCTGTGTCCCCCCTCTCTCTGCCCACCCCTACTTGTGCTCTGTCTCTCTCTTTCAAAAATGAATAAACATAAAAAAAAATTAAAAAAAGAAAGAAAATCCATAGACAGTTTAAGAATAAAATACATCTTAATAATTATACTGTTTCAAATTTGGGTATGACTTTGGGAAAGGCAAAATCAAGAATAGTTTTGAGAGAGGTATGTGCTAAGTATCTAAAGATATGTGCTAAGTATCTAAAATAGGAAAAAGGGGTGCCTGGGTGGCTCAGTCAGTTTAGCAACAGACTCTTGGTTTCGGCTCTGGTCATGATCTTGCAGTTTTGTGAGTTCGAGCCCCACATTGGGCTCCGAGCTGGCAGTGCGAAACCTGCTTGGGATTCTCTCTCCCTCCCTCTCCCTACCCCTCCCCTACTTGTGCTATCTCTGCCTCTCTCAAAATAAATAAATTTATTTAAAAAATAAAAAAAAAAATAAAATAGGAAATAATGATTCTCTAGACAAAAATACCTTGGTTTACTCAAACTTGATTTTTACCTTTATTTTACATTATTCATGCACAGATTGCAATAATTTGTTAATATACCTTTATATGTATTTAGGCGTGGACATTTATATTTAATAAACCTAAGTTTATATCTATTGCTTTACAATAGAATTTGTCAGGGGCACCTGGCTGGCTCAGTCAGTTAAGTGTCCAACTCTTGGTATCAGCTCAGGTAATGATTTCATGGTCATGGGATCGAGCCCTGCCTCAGGCTCTATGCTGAGCTTAGAGCCTGCTTGGGATTCTTTCTCTGCTTCTCCTTTCTTTCTCTCAAAATAAATAAACTTAAAAAAAAAAAAGTATAATTTATAATTATATTAAATAAAAGATGTAGGAGTACCTGGGTGACTCAGTCAGTTGAACATGCAACTCTTGATTTCAGGCCATGATTTCATGATTTCACAGTTCATGATTTTCACGGTTCATTGAGCCCCAGTGTTGGGCTCTGTGCTGACAACACAGAGCCTGCTTGAGATTCTCTCTATCCCTCTCCTGCTCTCTCTTGTGTGAGCGCACACTCTCTCTCTCAAATACTTAAAAGAAAAAAAAAGTATACATATTAAATTTACCATCTTAATAAGGAGTAAATCATATTCATTATGCTACATACATATTTGTATTTCTCTGTAATTATTGTACTGATTTATATTGTTTATAATATATAAGTGTTAACAATTAGTATAACATATAACATTCTTAACACTTTATATTATCTTTAAGTGGCCAACAAATTTTTTCTCCATACAATGAAGAAAATTAGAGAACAGAATATGAAGAATTATTCATGTATTAAAAAAATTTTTTTTAATGTTTATTTATTTGAGAGAGACAGACAGCATGAGGGAGGGAGGGGCAGAGAGTGAGAGACACAGAATCTGAAGCTAGCTCCAGGGTCTGAGCTATCAGCACAGAACCTCTTGTGGGGCTCGAACTCATGAACCATGAGATCATGACCTGAGCCGAAGTCTGACACTTAACCCACTGAGCCACCCAGGAGCCCCAAGAGAGAAAAGTTTAGATGCAGAAAAGTTTTGATGTATATACATATATAAAGAGTGACAGATGGTTTAGACAGTAACTTGGACCCTTGAAAATTTTATCAAGCTGTGTGATCAAAAAACCAGTACTTGTTACTCCTGGAAGTTTGGGAAGGAGAGGATACCACCTATATTAAGCAAAATTATCTCTTTTTTAGAAAAACAGGACAAATAATCTCTTCATGGGATTTCTTCGTTTTTTTTGTTGTAAGGTACCTCCTAAATGCACCATCTTATTATTTGTGTCAAAAGCTCCTCAAAATGGCCAGTGCAATTCCACTTGGTGGAACTGCTCTTGGTGAAACTGTGCTAGCTAGGATGCTAAGTATTAGTATTGCGATGACAAAAGATGCCCCTGGAAGCGATGCACTTTTAGATTGAGAAGATGTCAAGAGAACTGGAATGGTCCTTAAAAGTAGTGCTAGCGCTCAGGTAACTTCTCGGAGACCCAAAGACAAAACTAAGCAAGAAGTCCTTAAAAGGTTTTGAAATGATATGAAGCAAAGGAATGACAATATGGGGATTTCCATGGGTCTACTTAGGGATGGACTTACCATGCTTGCAGGTAATCTTTAAGGAGGCCCCCAGGATCCTTGCCTCTTGGCAGTCATACATTTGTGTAATTCCCCTCTTCCTTGAGTTTGGCTGGACTTATGGCTTGCTTCTAACCAATGGAATGCAACAAAGGTGATGGAATGTACATGACTGCATTTGCATGATTACCTAAGAGTATAGCACATGATGAGGTTTTTGGAGGTGTTAGTGGGGTTCACAGGGTCCGGAGTCCATGGCCAAGAAAGAATTCTTGAAGACATCTTTGGTGCGAAAAGGTGATTTTATTTAAGCACCCTGCCCTGGACGATGAGGAAAGACTGATTATATACTATGGGGTTGGAGGAGGTAAAGTCCAGGGGAAGTTTCCAGGGAGATTTTCATATGCTAAAGACTCACAGGACACTGGAGGCCTAGCTACTGTCAAGCTAAGGCTGTTTTTCCTTCTAGCAAAACATTAAGACAGTAGGGTGTTCCTAAAAAAACATTTTACTCTGCCAGCCTCAAGTATTTGTCAATGGGCTGCATGTTACAAGGGAATGGAGTTCTATCTGCCATTTCCTTCTGCCTTTGTTTCCCACTGTGGAGGGCTAGTGGAGACCTAGGTCCTGAAGGACTATGATCTCTATCAGTTAACCTTTTGTTTTCCACTTTCCTTTGTTCTTGGGCAGCCAGGAGTGCCTGAGGAGTATCACATATATCCCACCTGGTTGGGTTGTGGGGGGTGTTTGTGGTCTGTCAGCTTGCCTTGTGCTCCCTCATTAGCACACATCTTGCTAGTTTCTCTCTTCAACACTGACTGCCTTTGAAGAAACAACTTGCCATGAATCCTACAATCACAAGCAAATGAAATGAGAGAGCTTGGAAGCAGATCCTTTCCCAGTCAAGGCTGAAGAGAACTCAGCCTTGTGAGACCGTAAGTGACTAAGCCCAGCTAAGCCCAGACTTCTGACCCACAGAAACAGTGGGATGATTAAGTGTGTGTTGCTTTAAGCAACTGGGTTTGTGGTAATTAGTTACACAGCAATAGAAAACTAATGCACTAGCTTATAGCCATGTGCGCCTTATACTTTTCTCCTTATAGACAATTTTATTTACAAATATTCAACAACATTTGGGTCCTTTTTTCTAGTCATGGACTGTTGAGGTTAAAATTACTTACCTAAACTTCATTAGAATCTTTGGGTAAAAATTAACCAATGTTCTTTTCCCCATTGTAAACATTAATATTAGTACAGTGAAAGAGATGGCAATAAATTAGCAGGGATCAGCTTTTATTAACACAGCTATCCTCAAACCACCTCCAGCAAGGACACATTTTGTTGTAGCATACAGGTTTCTCTCCAACTAGAATGAGCTCTCTGAAGTAAGTGTCCTCTGGCTTTAAGGTCTCCTCCAGGCCTTACATATACTAGATATTTCATAATTGTTGAATTGAAACTGTAATTGCATTCAAGCTTAGTAATTAATGATATCTGCCTCATTTCAGGTAGCAATTCTGAATGCTCTAAAACATCAAGACCTATGACAGGATGAATACTACATAATATGAATACTGTCATAATTATGAGTAGTATGCCAATGTTATTGTTGCCCAAACTAAACCTCACAAAAGACAAAGGGAAATAGGCAACTAGAATTCAGAGATTTTTCACCATCATCTTTGATTAGCTGCCACAAAACTTCCCACTATTGAACCTGTCCTACAATTCTTACTTCTCCCAACCCCTCCAGGTATCTGAAATAGGAAAAAAAAAAAAAAAAAAAAAAAAAAAAGGAAATAAAACAATTCTCCCTAAAAGATTTCTCCCTTCTTTCTCATCTTTTAAATATTACCTCAACCGTTGGCAGAGGTTTCTTAGGAACATCAATAAAATTTGGGCCAATTTAGATTTATAATTAGAAGAAGATACTATTTTTGGTATTAAATTTAAGAATAAAATGCAGCCAACTCTACATATATACTTATAGACACTAAAGCACAAAGCAGTCAATCTAGCTACACCCAATGGTTAATGACTGTGGCCGAATCTCTGTTCTCTAGCAAGAGACTAAACTCCTGATGGGCAGGGACTGCTCATCTGGTCTGCTGTGCATTTCCCCAACACGTAACACACTGCTCACTCAAAGGGACACTCGAGGAATTTGTTGCGTTCAATTAAAAGAGAAAACAATATTTTAAACAAGTCAATGGTGACTGCTAAGGTGACATCTGAACCCAGATGTTTAAACAATACCACTCCAGCCCATTCTGCAGTGAAACTATCAGACAGAAAAGAGAGTTAAATCAAATACCAGCACTGAAACTTCCAAGCCTATACAAGGAAGAAATCACACCATGTTTAGCCAGTGAAAATGACTAGAATTTAAAATATATTTTAATGAGAACACTCTCTATCTTTAAATAAAAATGATTTACATTTTTAAATATGAAACTGCTCTGGCATTAGGACTTAACTGCTTCCTGATCTACAGGGTTTAGATGCCACCGCACCACTAATTCCCCAGTGCTCTTGAGGCATGTGTTAGACATGTCCTCTTCCGCTGGAAGTCCTTGTGGCAACTTCAGGGGCTGGATTCTGTGACATAAGAAAATGCTTTTAGAATTACACTAGGTAATACATTTTTTTAAATAGCTGAAGTAACAAACAACAAACCTTATCAAATGTTTAACCACTTTCAGTTTTGCATTCACTGAAGGTATATTCTTGTGAACTTGAGGAGTATGTGCCTATAAACAAAGGAAACAGGGTTATGGATCCATTTCAAAGCAGATGGTCCCATGTTACAGTGAAATGTTAAGGTGAAACTCATTTTGTCTGAATCAAATTTTCAAATAAATTACACTAAATAATACATTTAAATGAGTGAAGTAATAAAAATGTACCTTAAAGTTTAAAAATTATAAAATTTAAAGCAAATTTAAACAACTAACTTAAGAGGACTTAAACAGCTGCTTACTTTTTCTAATCCAAGCATCTTTATTATATCTTTTTCCCAATATGGACGTCTTTTTGTACTCTTTATTCTGGTAACAATATGTAGTTTATGAGGGTGCTGTGGATCCCCACCATATTTTTCATGATCTGCAGGTGAAGGCTGAAATACCTAGGAAAGAATTATAAATGGTAAGTTTTCAATTACACAGTTTCTAGGTATTTCCTTTTCCTTTCTTAACCACCCCCCAAAATCTACATAACGATCTCATCCCCAATCCTTCTGAAATCCTCATCTTCAAACTGATTATTCAGACAAAGTCTAAGGATTGCATACTCTGAAAAAAAAAAATCACACAGGCAAAGACTGTTTTGTTTTGTTTTAAGAGCAAAGCGGGAGTAACCAAAGAACATTAAAGAGTTCAAATGCCAGGAGACTGTATTAGCACCAGATAAGCAGGGCACAGTAGCATCCCTCCACCCCACTCAGGCAGGGCATCAAAGATAAGCTTACAATGACAACACATGAGTATGTGTTAGTACAAATGACTGCCTACAAAGGGTCAGAAACAGCTCAAGAGAGCTGACATTAATACTGATTCTCTAAAAAATCAAAAGGTTCTAGTAAGCTATCACACAAAAAACTTCCCTGAGTATATAAAATGTACTAAATAAAGAGGTACATGGTAATACTATTTGTAATAATGAAAAATTTAAAGGCCACATTCATGTTCCTCGTAGAATAACTAAATGGAATTACAAGGCATACATTTGAATTAAAACTAGTACAAAATAATAAAACCAGTAATATACGATACAACTGAATAAATTATGATGTATCCCATGGGATACAATGCTGCCATAAAAACCAATAAGGTTAACTATCTTAGCAGCTACTAACATTGAAGGATGGCCATAATACATTCTTGAGAAAAAAATAATTCCACACCACTATGTGTAGTAGGATCTCATATTTGTACCAAGTACCAAGTACATGAGTGTGTACACAGGATACACTACATAACGACTAATTCTAAGAATCATGTAATATACATATGTGCATATACATACACTTATATATGTATAAAGGTCTCAAAGACATTCGATCGAGTCATATCACCTCTGGGAAATCAGACCAAGGAAGGACATGGACACACGGACACACACACATGGTGGCACTTTGATCAAAAAGGGTATTATTTAATTATAAAATAATATTGTAGAAACTTATCTGCTGAGAGGCTCACATTATATTGCTAAATGAAGACAGCAGCTAAAGAAGCATTTTACATGAGATGATTCACATCTTTAAAAACATATAACAGAAAAGGATATGGAAGCTGTCTCCAGGTGGTGGGATTAAGGGTGTCTTTTTGCTCTTTTTGCTCATTTGTATTTTCTAGGGGTTTTGAAGAGATGCAGGGTGAGAAGAATGGTGGTAAACAGAGGATGGGGCAGGCATGCTGAAGAAAAACAAAGATTTAAAGAAACAGTGTAAAGAGCACAAAATATCTGGGAAAACCAAGGGTAAATGTGTGGCTCAAGTAGAAAAAAACATGAAAGCAATGTAGAGGATGAAGTTAAATTGCTCAACTGTGCTGAGCCTTCAGAAACTTCCAGAAGGGATACAGAGCTCTTGAAGACTTGAAGCAATATGACTACAATTTTAAGGGACTCAGAAAGAATATACTTGTAAGAGGACAAAATGAAGTGGGAATGGGAGACTGGTACCAGGAAACTTGCAGCCCTGGTTTAAGAGCCTGATCTACAGTAGCTGCAACAGAAAAGGGACTCATTTGGGGACTCTGGACAGTAAAATAGATGCATTTGTGGTGAATGGAGGAAATGGAGGGGTTGAGATGGACACATCTCCACCCTGATTTGGGAAATCAGGTAAAGGATGGTATCATTAACTGATATAACTAATACAGGACGAGCATCCTATTTCATTTGGTTGTTTGGAGGGAAAGTAAGACGAGTTTGATTCTAAATATGTTTAACCTGAAATACCTCTGCATTATCCACAAGGCAGGGTCTAGGAACATGTGAGAATATAGGAATAAGTTCAGAAGATAGGCATGGGCTGGAGATACACATCTCAGAATCATTTCCATGAAGTTTGAATTTTCATATTTGCTACAGCTGACAATCAAAATCAATGCCTTACACATTTTAAAGGAATGCTAACGTCTGTATCTATCCTTTTATTCTAGAACTTTACAGACTAAGAAACACGAAAAGATACAAGACAATACAGTTGTGGAAAGGATAGCAGCAGCAAAGCCATGACTTGAAAAATAAAGAGGTTTCTGATATAAGAACATCAAGCATATTAAAGGTGTCAAAATACTCAATGGTAACACTATTTTATCTTTAAAAAAAATCAAAGGAGAATGGTAGTTGTCAGGGGCTGGGGAAAAGAGATTGGGGAGTTATTATTTAATGGGTACAGAGTTCCAGTTTTGTAAGATGAAGAGTTCTGGAGATGGATGGTGTGAGGACTGGACAACAATATGAATGTATTTAATAACACTGTAACGTACACTTAAAAATGGTTGAGACAGTACACTGTATATATATTTTGCTGCAATACAAAAAACTGGGGGAAAAAAACACAAAAAAACCCAGACTTTAAAAACTAAATGTAGTCTTTTCCATATATTCCATCAACTGCATAACTGCATTCTTAGGTACTTACCTCAAATGAGTTGAAAACCTATGTCCCCACAAGAACTTGCACACAAATGTTTACAGCAGCTTTATTCACTACTGTCAAGAACTGGAAACAATTAAGATGTCCTTCAGGAGATGAATGGCTAAACAAACTACAGTACATCCATAAAACCAAATATTATTTGTAATAAAAAGAAATGAACTGCATAGCCACACAACTCAGGTTATAAAAATGCAACTTTCATTATTTCCAGAAACTTGTTTGATTTCTGAGTCCCCAGCCACTTTAATGGAAAATAACTTGATCTTTCAAATTCGTGTTTTTCCTTAACTCTATCCAGATATGTTTTAGCTAACTCACAATTTATCATTCTTTTGACTAAGTACAGTTAACAAAAAGCTAGCAATCCTGGTGGCAAGATGTCAAGAAACCTTAACTGCATATTGCTAAGTGAACGAAGCCAGTCTGAAAGATTACATGTGCATGATTCCAACGATAAGGAATTCTGGAAAAGGCAAAACTATAAAAACAGGAAAAATATCAGTGGTTTCCAGGGGTTGGGAAATGAGAGGGAGGGATGAACAGGTGAGAACAGAGGATTTTTAGGGCAATGAAACTAGTTGTATGATTCCCTAATGACCCAGGACATTGTGCATTTGTCAAAAGCCACAGAATGTGTAACACTGATAGTAAACCCCGATCCAATCTAAGGACTTTAGTTAATAATAATCTGTCAATTCTGGTCCATCAATTCTAACAAATATATACCAATACAAAATGTTAATTATAGGGTAACTATATATGTTGGGGAGGGAGTATATGGGAACTCTCTGTACTTTCTATTCAATTTTTCTATAAGCCAAAAACTGCTGTAAGAAATAAAGTCTATTCATTTAAACAAAATAAAACAGAAGTTAATAGGGGGCTTAGCCAGTGTTTTCCAAAAGTATGATATGTACACATAAGTATAGCAAAGAAAACGCAAAGATCCCAAGTTGCAATACTCAATATATAAAGTGAACACAAAGAAGCACAGAGACAGAGTCTGAGCCGGAGGAAGACCCACTGTTTTCCTGAGGATAATGGTGATATGAAAACACAAAATATTAAGGCAAAAATCATAAGCGGGAATAAACAGGTACTAAGATGATAAAACCCCACTACTTCAAAGGCCAGTGGCACATTAAAAAAAAAAAAAGAATCATTACCTAGATAAATTCTACCATGTGTTATTTAAACTCTATACTACCATGGACATCCACAAATAATTCAATGTAAAAGTTTTCAATATTACACAAATAGGTACCATTTGAAAACATAACATGCTTAAAAAAATAGTAACGCTAACCCCCACCCCACCAAACCCTTGTTCTTACTTTATCTGGAATTCTTGACTTGGTAAATTTGTGACGAATCCAATCTGTACAAATGAGAGACTCCACACCTCTTGTTACAGTCTAAACATGACAGAAAACATTTTTTAAAAAACTCTGGCTAGTGCAGAAATCTATACTCACCAATTTTTAGGTGACAAAAGTCTGTTTTTATTTAACCTATAATTATCAAACCTTTATCTCAGCTCCTTAGCTAAATGAATACATCTCACCACTAACATTATAAAGCAAAAAGCACATATAGACTTCTCTTTTTTTTTCAAGTTTTTATTTAAATTCCAGTTAACATTCAGTGTAATATCAGTTTCAGGTGTAGAATTTAGTGATTCCCACTTCCACAACACCCAGTGCTCATCACGACAGGTGCCCACCTTAGTACCCATCACCCATCTAGCCCATCCTCCCGCTCCCATCCCCTCCAGTAACCCTCAGTTTGTTCCCTATAGTTAAGAGTCTGTTTTCTGGTTTGCCTCTCTTTTTTTCTTTTTTCTCCTATGTTCATCTGTTTTGTTTCTTAAATTCCATATATGAGTCAAATATAGACTTCTTGACCAGGGTGGGCAATATTTTTCTATAAAGGACAAGACAGGAAATATTTCCAGCTTTAGGGCTGTATGGTTTCCATTGTCAAGTCTCAACTCTGCCACTGTAAGGTAAAAGCAGCCACAAACAATATGTAAACAAATAGGCATGGCTATGTTCTAATAAAACTTGATTTACAAAAATAGGTGGACTGAATTTGACTTGCAGGCCATAGTTTGCCAACGCCTGCTCTAGACAATGTGCAATAATTTACCTTCACCAATACAATGTAAAAGAAAAGGAGGTGCCAATTTTATTTCTAGTCCCTACAATGCCAACACTCCTAGTTTCTATTTCTTATTCCCTTTCTACAATCTTCCAGTCCTGTTGCTCTCAGTCTGCTAAAGAAAAAGGATTCACTGCCAATCCTTCCCATCAGGAAACTCCCCTCTGGATGGGCAATAATCATTCCTTTCATGCCCTCTCTGTCCTGCAGAGATCCACAAACAACTAGACAGTAAGTAGGAGTGAACGAGGGAGAGAGAGGAAAAACATGGGCTTCTAATCCTGGCTCTGTGCTCACCATTTGTGAGAAATGAGACACTTATCCTCTCAGAGAGTCAATTTCCTCAGCTATTTAAGAAGGAAATAATACTGATCACACAGGATTAATCTAAGGTTAAGGCAATGTACTGGCCAGCACCAATGTATGGCCAGCAGCAGGTCTGTATCTAGACTCTGGCCCTCATGAATGGGTTAGGCTGTACTGCTACAATTTCTGTAAGAAAGAATACAAGGAATTACATGAAAATACAAACATTAGTGATCTCTGGAAGAGGGCTTTTCTTCTTTCTGCTCTTCCATATTTTTCTATGATTGGAAATATACTCTTTTCATAATTGAAGGGAAAAACCTAAAACTTTAAAAAGATTAAGGGGAATCAACAGTGGCCATTTTTTACCAGCATGTTTTCCAGGAAAAGATCTTTTGTGTTTTTAAATTTTTAGTGATAAAACAGCAGATCATAAATCATAAATAAAACTGCTCTTCAACATTAAAAAACACTATATAAAAAAAGGAACTTGTACAGTTTAACTTGCCTGTTTGTTTTGTTAATTACAAAAGAGAGAGAAATCACTCTTAAAGAATAAAAAAAGTGGGGCGCCTGGGTGGCGCAGTCGGTTGAGCGTCCGACTTCAGCCAGGTCACGATCTCGCGGTCCGTGAGTTCGAGCCCCGCGTCGGGCTCTGGGCTGATGGCTCAGAGCCTGGAGCCTGTTTCTGATTCTGTGTCTCCCTCTCTCTCTGCCCCTCCCCCGTTCATGCTCTGTCTCTCTCTGTCCTCCCCCAAAAAAAATAAATAAACGTTAAAAAAAATTTAAAAAAAAAAAAAAAGAATAAAAAAAGAGAGAAAGATGATACTTGAAAAGAAATACTTACTTGGAGTCCACCTGGGGGCTTCTGAACTATTGAGCGCAAAATCCCTGCCATGAGTGTGGTGACTGTTCTTTTCAAAGGCTATGACAAGCATAAAACAGATCCATGGGTCAAATATGTATTGGAAATGGACAGGTGCCTACTTACATATTATTAAAAACCTAAAGAAGTTAATTATGAACTTGACTGAAGTTTAACAGTAAAATCCTAGTTATTTTAATGCAATAAGAGTAAGAAGTTATAATAAATGTTTTATTCAGAATTCAGCAAAACCATATGTAGCAATTATACATTAATCACATTCCATTTTTGCCAGATGAGTTAGCAACTAGGTTGATTCAACAAAAATGGGCAAAGAAATCACTACTACTTAATTTCTTCACCAAAGAGCACAGATAAAGAATGCTTTGTTATAAAATCACAAAATGAAAGGACTAGAAGGGACTGAAGAAATCTAGACTCCTAGAATGAGAATTGACAACCTTCTTTAAAAAAAAAGAAAAGAAAAGAAAAAAATGTTTATTTATGTATTTTGAGAGTGAGCAAGTAAGCTGGGGAGAGAGAGAGAGAGAATCACAAAAGCTCAACACGGAGCCCAGTGCGTGGCTGGATCCCAAAACCCTGGGATCATGACCTGAGCAATCAAGAGGTGGATGCTTCACTAACTGGGCCACCCAGGTGCCTCTAGAATTGACCACCTTAGCCTATGTATGTGGAAAATGAAAATTCATTCATATTGAAGGGCATCCACCTTCAATCCAATTCAATCCAATCAAAGGGCATCCAGCTTATCCAAGGAGCATATAGTTTGGAACCCAATTCTCGTAATTCCTACTCCAGTGCATTTTCACTAAATCATAATACCTTTCTGTTAAAAAGTAAACTATAACTTTCTTTCTTGAATACTTGTATTTTTAAACTATTCTTAATGAATATGCATTGCTTCTATGATGTAAAAAAGTCATGTTTATTTAGACAGGCAATAATTACAACCAATTATACTGATGTATACAAAAGCAGAAAGATAAGGTTTATGAACTACATGTACATTTTTCATAGGTTACTTAATTTGTGTGTTTCAATTCTTTTTCAAAAGGACAGAATATAATACCTACTTTCCAAATGAATCATTCTAAAAACACCTAAAACAGTTTTTAGTACATAGGAAGCCCTCAACAAATGGTAGCTTTTACTATTATGAAATTATTACAAAGTTGTAATAAGAATACCCTAACACACTAAAATTGGGTAAATGCTGTACTTCGGTGAATCCACCAGATTCTGGCTCACTCAAGCTCATCAAGTCTTTCCTGTGATGTGCACAAAACAATGAAGTTGTGGGAATCAACGCAAGATGTCCCATTAAAAGAGCCAAGACTTTTGAAAAATTCTCAGCAACTAAACCAGTCTCTCAAAATTAATTATGCATCAGTTTTAGAAGAGTCAACTACTAAATCCTTAATGCCATGAAAGCCAGAATTTTATCTTGTTCATTTTCTACTCTCAGCATCTAGCACAGTATCTGATGAACAGTAGGCACCCAGTGTTTGTTTATGAATGTTTGAATCAATTAATGGGTTAGAACTATGATCTGCTCAACTCAGAATTCAGAAGTATATCAAAATTTCATAACTCTCATTCAAACTTCAAAGATTACTATACAGCATAAGAATTTCTAGTTCAAATCAGTATCTAGTGCAAATCATCAGCCATTGCTTGGCTGGTTGTTTATATATATTTTGTATCGACGCTTCCTTAGAAAAGATGCTTATTTAATCCTCTGGCTCTGCAATCAAATAGGTAACGATAAATTATTTTCTCTACCATACTTCTTCCTCCTAAGTTAAACATTATATATTAACCCAATTCATTTGGCTTCACATTTTTTTACTTTTCTCTTATCATTTAGATTTCAGCAAAAGCCTCCTAAGGGGCCTTCCACTTTCCAGTCCAACTTCCATAAGCTCTCTTCTCCATAGCAGCAACCATTTCATTAAAATCCCAAATCAAATCATGTCAACTCCTCTTCCCCAAACATTCCAATCAATGAGCCAGGTTTCTCACTGTTGAAGTGAAAGGTAACATATAAGAGGAGAAAGCTAGAATAATCCATGTGATTCAATGACACAAGTTGAGAGTTTGAGCTCATGTTTAGCTTAATATAGATACTGATGGATATAGAAATAATCACAGGTATGAATGTATATATACATGGGTTAGCTCTGTTAGCTGAATGGCATCCCAGTAGCAACGAACACACTCAGCGCCTGATCTTAGCATTCTCTAATAAAAGGAACCAGGGCTCCTTTGAGAAATGGCTAATCATAGGGCTACTGCAGTGAATATATTAAGATGAACCTGGAGCACTTTGTAGCACTAGAAACGAACTACTTAAAAACTCAAAATGATGGGAGTATGTCTTCAAATACCTGACTGCCTTAAAACTGTCAAAATCACCAAAAACAAGGAAAGTGAGAAACTGCCATAGTCAAGAGGAGCCTAAGGAGACATGACTACTAAGTAAATGGGGTAAAAGGACATCTGGTAAACACTAAGAAAATTCGAATGAAATATGGACTTTAGTTAGCAGTGTAATAATGCTGGTTCATCAATTCTAACAAATGTACCATACTAATGTAAGATGTTAATAAAAAGGGAAATAGGATGTGGGGTATATAGGAACTTTACTATTTTCACAACTTTTCTGTAAACCTAAAGTTATCCTAAAATAAAAAGCTTATTTATTAAAAAACCAAAACCTCCAATGTCTCAGAGCAATAGCCAGTCCTTAACCCCTACCTCTAGGACTTCGTCTCCAACTGCTCCCTTGCTCACTGGATACACACATTGACACCCTTAGAGGTCCTAGAAGTTGCCAGGCAGACAAGCTCCTCTGGACTGACTGTTTTTTCTCCTGGAATGCTCCTGATATTTATATAGTTAGTTCCCTTATTGCTTCAATTTTTGGCTCAAATCTCTTCTTAGTGGGGTCTATCCTGATTCCATTGTTTAACATTTTGACCCCCCACAATTGTCAGCACTCCTCACTCCACTGGATTTTGTTTCCATAGCACTTCTCTTCTAACATAGTTTGTTAGGTTTGTTGCTTACTGTCTGTCTCCACCCAGTAACATGTTAACTCCGCAAGGACAATAAATTAAAAAAAAAAATTTTTTTCTTGGTGTGCCCTATCTATTCACAGATGTATCCCAAGCATCTACCAAGAGCAGCACCTGTTGTGTAGTAGGTACGTTATCAATTTCTGCTGAATTAAGTTTAATTTACAGACTTCAGAAGGTGTGACAGTGAAAAGTTGTAAGTTTTAATAAAAAATAAAGGTTAATGTTAACAATTATTCACACAACTCTTGGACCTTGAAGCAACTATACTGTCTTCTACTGTACAGTAGCTTTTCTCTTGCAAAAATAGGAAAACACATGCATCATGAGAAGTATGATCCCTTTTCCATTAAGAAAATGTCTGTGACTGTATACGTATACACAGAAAAACTCTGGAAAGCTATCAGTAAAATATAAACATACCCATGGGGGGAAGGCTACCAAGGTGATTTTCTACTTTTTGCCCCCAGTTAATATCCGAACAGTTTTAGACACCTACTTACTGACAAAAGGAAGGAAAACACTGAAAACGCACAACACAGAATTTTCCTTTCAATTAACCGATATCTCTGAACGCAAAAAATGTCTCTTTTAATTCCTAACGCCTAAAAAGTAACAGGCAGTCTTCATCCGCGCCTGTTGGCGAAAATATGCAAAACAGGCAGCTATGGGTAGGCGGCGATCAAAAACATGATTGCAAAATTACAGCTTTTAGTAAAATGGTAAATATTTTAACTGCAAACTCCCGAAGGTGTTGCCTTCAAAGATGCAATTAGCAAGCTTTTATCCTCATTAACAAAAAATTCAAGTTACGCGGATCCCCAGTGGGAAACCGAAATTAGTTATAAACAGAAGCACAAAAACTGCCAAAACAACCCTGAATTCCCTGCCCCACTAAACTATCTTGCCTAGGCGGGTCCAGAGCCGGGCTTAGCAAGCCGCGCGGCTCCGGAACTGGGAAACCGGATCCGCTCGACCACTGGCTTTTCGCGATCCCAAGGGACAGTGAACGGGCGCAAATTCATTTAGGTTATTACGACCCGCAAACTCAGAATCCAATAGGAAAATCAATCCACATCTCCACGGCGTTCCCAGGTACCCACTCCTGGCAAAAAATGCAATATTCCTAAATATTCTTCAGCCTGACCTTACTCACCGAGGGGAAGCAGAGCAGACGGGTGCCCACGAAGCGCAACACACAAACCTGGCCGTCATATAGCGTACTCATAGTCAACCCCGCCACTTTAGTTCCGGCCACGTCCCGCCCCTTCAAGGCCATAAAAAGAGAGCGCAGGCGCAGGTCTGTCACGTTATTCCCCCCTCCCACCTCACGTCCCCGGCGCGGCAGCGGTTGGCTCAGCTCTGGTTGTGTTTGAAGCAGAGAGGAGTTTCTGTTAACTATGGCGAGATCCGGACAGGAGCAGGAAGCCGAAAGCACAGCTGCATTCAAGGTGCTAAAGCGGGCGATGGAACTGGACTCGGAGTCCCGGTACCAGCAGGCTCTGGTGTGTTACCAGGAGGGGATTGACCTGCTCATGCAGGTCCTGAGAGGTGAGCAGGGAGCCGTGGAGAGGATACCAGAGGAAAGGAACTGGATCCGCAGTTTCTGGGGAGTGAAAGTTAAAAACCCTTCTTGTACACCACCAGGAAGCAGTCACAAACAGAAGGTTGATATTCTACAGGACAAGTGGACTGTTTTCTTTTAGATTGATGTCATCAAAAAAGACAGGGTCAGTACTCTAGATTTTGAAGAGACAGAATCAAATCTAAATATATAAGCCTTGATAGGACTCAGGTTCGAAAGAAATGTAAAAATACATTTTTGGATCCTTTTTGGAAAGTTTGAATATGGATTGGGTAACAAATTATTGACTTTGTTAGGTAGCATGTTTTTTTCTAAAACTGTCCTTGATTTTTAGAAATGCAGACCGAAGTGTCTTGGGAAGAATTTGTCATAATGTCTGAATTTAATTTTAAGGGGGGGGGGGAACCCGGAGCAAATGTGGCAGAATTCTAGCAATTCTTAAATCTATGTGATCGGTAATAAGGGTGTTCGTTACACTATTATCTTTGCTTTTATGTTTAGATATTTTCGTTAGAAGTAAACAAAAATAAAATCACATAGCAGTAGAATACCTTAAGTACCTTTAAGTACACCTTAAATAACGGGTGTACTGAAATTCGTTGTGAGAAATACATAGGATTGTGGGTGGGCACAGCGAAACTTGATCTGTTAATATAGTTATTCAATGTTGAGAAGTACCCAAATAACCATTAACAACCGGTACAATCTCTGGCACATAGTAGACACTCAGTGATTATGTATTAAACTGATTTAAGTTAAGTCTGGCCCCTGGTCCCCACGCCCTGTAGCTCCCAGTCTGGCCGAAGATCTCCCCTGTGTGCCTTTTAGCCTAAGTATTACAGAAGCTTTTGGACAGCAGAGGGCGCTTTTCAGGGTTGGGGGCTTTAGTAGTAAAACTACTTTGGGAAGGCCCAGATGATGATGAAGATGAAGATGATGATGATGGAGAAGAAGAAGGAGATGATGATGATGGAGGAAAGTAATTATCATTTATGAGTGCTGAGTGCTAGGCACTGTCAGAGCACATGAACATCATGATCTTGTTTCATCTTTACAATTGCCCTGAGAAGTAGGAGCTGATGTTATCCTCATTGTACAGCATAAAATTAAACTTTTCAGTTCCACCACAGTTAGTCAAAATTGGGAGCCCAAGGCTTGAAAGACTCTGGTATACTGACTGCCAAAAAAAGAGAGGGTGTACAGTGTTGGTCAGGTGGATCATTGCTTAAGTTCCAGTGCTCTAGGGTTGTCAGGTCAAGCACTACTCAAGTTCTGGCATTCTGGGAATCTGAATCAGGAGAACTATAGTTTTGCTCCTGTGTGCTCTACTGATTCTACAGAGGTTATATAGAGACAGTGACCTGATCTTACAGGTTAAGATACAAATGCAAATAACTCTAGTACAGGAAATAAGTGCCAGGAGAGAGAGATGGACAATGAGGATTTAAATAGTTAAAGGTCATTTGGGGGAGGAAAGGTGGAGGTGGCTTTTGAGGAATAAGTAGAATTTCAGAAATGAAATTCCGCAGAGTGTTTAAATTCTGTTTGTGCTATTTTTACCAAATAAGTGGTTCACTTTGGTTCATTGTGTGTCTCTAGAAGAAGAGTGAGAAGTAAAGTAGATTGAGGTGTGGTGTGGATGACCTTCACTGCCAGGAGATTTTAACTCCTTCCATAGACAAGGAGAAACCATTTAAAGTTTTTATAAAGGAGTGATGTAATTAGAGTTGCATGTCAGGGCTTGTCTCTATTAGGAATATGCTCTCCTCCCAAATATCTGCATAACATACTCCCTCTTCTCTTTCAGTTTTTTATATAAATAGTACCTTCACTGTGAGGCCTTTCCTGACGTCCTGTGTAAAGTTACAACCCCATCCCAGGACTCCCTTGTTTTCTTCCTTGTTTTATTTTATTTAATAGCACTTATCACAATCTAACATACATATTTTACCAACTTCCTTTTATTGTTGTCTTTCCTTCCACTTGAATGATAGGGGATAATCATGTCTGTTTTATTAACTGCTGTAGCCCCAGTGCTTAGAACAATGTCTGGCATGTGGTAAGTTCTCAGTAAATAATTCTTGAATAAATGAGTGAATATGGCAAGAGTGTGGGGGAGATACTAACCTGAAGAGACTGAAGTAAAGCAGACCAATCGAGGAGCTTCTGCAGGAATCAAGATGAGAGGTGAGAAGGGCCTGAAGGAACCAGAGGGGTGACACCAATATTAAGAAAGGAGGAGACAGTCTGGATATTGAATAATTGGCATTAGGACATGACTAGATGTGGGAGTGAGGTTCAGTGGAATCCAACCTGCTGTAAGTAAGCCTAGGAAACTGAGATGTGATGTTTGAGGAATGGGTCTACATTGTTAAATTCTGCCAGCTGATCGAGGGTGATCGTTAAGAAAGGACTACTTTATTTACAGAGGACAGAGAAAATAGAGTATATTTATAGGCAGTCGCAAAGTAATAGTGGAATTTAAGAAAAGAGATATTATAGTCTGGTTCTAAAGGAAGCCCAGAGTATGGTGAATGAAAAAAATTATGTAGGTGATAATGATATTAACAAAATTTATTATTTCCTACAAGCCAGTCTCTTTGATCATTAATCATCTCCCTGTCTAAGGAACAATTTCTCTTTGCGTGTTACAGTTGAGGATACAGACAGGTTGAATAACTGGCCATGGTCACACAGCAAAAGTGGCAGAGCAAGTTTTGAACTAAAACCATGTGACTCCAGATGCTTTGCTGTTAACCACTGTTCACACTGCCTCTTTGTAACAGAGACCATAAAATGCTTAATCCTGATAAAAAGACCAGTTCAAGGTTTTTGAGTTTAAAGAAATATATATAAACCTAGTAGAAGAATATGAGTTCTCATATCACCTTAGGAGCAAAAACAGGATTCCTCACAAGAGATTTATAGATTATAAATGGATAGATTAGGATTTTCTTAAGCTACTGAAGTATAGGCATGAGAAAGTAGGGATCTTGATACTAATTTTCAAGTAGAAGGACTTGAAAAGAATTCAGTAATTATATTGATATCAATAATTTTTTTTTAACATTTATTTATTTTTGAGAAGAGAGAGACAGAGCATGAGCGGGGAAGGAGAAAGAAAGGAGACACAGAATCTGAAACAGGCTCCAGGCTCTGAGCTGTCAGCACAGAGCCCCACGCGGGGCTTGAACTCACGGACCGCGAGATCATGACCTGAGCTGAAGTCGGACGCTGAACCGACTGAGCCATCCAGGCGCCCCATAGTGATATCAATAAAATGTTGGAAACAACCTGAATACCCTGGGAAGAAGAGAGGTTGAATAAAGTGTGGTACATCCACACAATGGAGTGCTATACTGCTGTAAAAAACAATGAGGATCTGTGGAAGCGATATGGAGTGATTTCCAGGATACACTGTTAGGTGAAAACTACAAAGGACAAAGAGATCCATGGTATGCTATCCTTCATGTAAAAAGGAAGATATTCATGTGTCTCCTCATTTGTTTGAAACAAAGGAAGGATAAAAACAGAAACTAATGAGGTTTGTGGGGTGGTGGAAAAGAGGTACAAAGAAGGAAGGAATGGGAATGGGGTAGCAAGATGAGGAAGGAATAATGCTGCTCTGAATTATTCAACTGTGATACAGAAGCAGGTGGACAAGAAAATAGGTAACTCAATTATCTCTGGAAAATAGTATTTTGACCATATTCTGTAAGGTTAAAGACAAAATGAATTATATACAAACATTGTGTTTTACTTGGTAAATGTTTTTCTCCCAGAGGTAGAAACTACTTTATATGAGTCTTGAATAAGCCAGTATATATATTGTGGATAATAAAAGAAGTTACACATAAGGAGATAAGGCTAGTATGAACCCTGTGGGATCCAAGTTATCATCATGAACTTATGGTTTTTAATATATATACAGATGTGTAGACACGGAAATAAAGGCAGATATATGTGTGTGTTAGTAACCCTATATATATTTACTTTCTAGCCACAAATTGAAAGGATCTGGAAGTAGTGACAGGACTCCCCTAGTGGCAGCAAGTATACTCAGCACCCAGAATTGGATTTCTTCATACCATTCTCCAATAAAAGGAACTTAGGGCTTTGGAAAAATGGTTGATTCCAGGGCTGGGGCAGGGAAAATACAAGATGAGTTTAGAACATTTTGCACCAGAAAGCAAGGAAGTGCTCAAAATATAATGGGTCATGTTGAAAGTACAGGGGTCAGCCAACATGCAGGAGCTCTCAAAGCCAAAGCTGATAAAGTTAGGGCAAGATAATAATATTGCATTTGCAGCAACATAGATGGAACTAGAGAGTATTACGCTAAGTGAAATAAGACAGAGAAAGCCAAATACCATATGATTTCACTTATATGTGGAATTTAAGAAACAAAACAAATGAGCAAAGGGAAGAAGAGAGATAGGCAAACCAAGAAACAAACAGACTCTTAACTATAGAGAACAAACTGATGGTTACCAGGGGAAGATGGGTAGGGGGATGGGAGAATAGGGGATAGAGATTAAGGAGTGCACTTGTGATGGCCATTGGGTGATGTATGGAAGTGCTGAATTACTATATCATACACCTGAAACTAATATTATACTGTAAACTAACTGGAATTTAAATAAAAACTTAAAAAAACAATAGTATTGGATTACAACCCATAAAATAAAATAAATATGCATGAGTCAATACTGATACAAATTGATCACTCAATAAATAAATAGATGGGGGAGAATGGACAGCTCTTCCTTATAGTAGCATTCCAGTTTATAAATTAATTAGGAATGATGGAAATAGAAAATCCCTGTTTGACAGACACTGCAGTGATAACTGTTGCAGGCAAGGACTATCAATGGATGCTAAAATTAGGGGGTGAAAGAGTGATGAGAAACAGGATATCTTCCCACAAGATACTTATCAATTATGAAGGACAAAATAGTGATTTTACAGTGGAGTGATCTTTGAACTCACCAGTAATGACATATATTGACATCATGTACCGAGAAGGGCATGCTTTCATGATTTTCTTCCCCAAAATGCATAACCTCAATCTAATCATGAGAAAACACCAACAGCCCCAAATGAGAGACATCCTACAAAATAACTGACCACTGCACTGTTTCCCCAAATGTCAAAATCATAAAAGGTAGAGAGGTTAAGGACCAATTTCAGATTGGAGGAGACTAAGGAAACATGACAATTAAATGCTGTGCAGGATTGTGGACCAGAAAATGAACTTTCTTTTTCTCTAGTGGGAACATTGGTGGAATACAAATAAGGTTTGTGGATGAGTTAGTAATGTTGTATCAATGTTAATTTCCTAACCTTGATAATTGTAGCATATTCACATGATATGTTAACATTAGGGGAGTTTGGGTGAAAGGATACTGTGTGCCATTATTGCAGCTTTTCCATAAATATAAAACTAATTCAAAGTAAAATGTTGTTAAAAAGTGGGAGTTTAAAAATGAAATTATTATGGAAAATATAAGTAATAGCAAAAAGAAGGAATGAGGGAACCAGAAGTGATTTAGGGGCGAGGGACTTGGGGTAAGGTTTTATTGATAATATGTATTCAAAAAATACCTTATATTTTTTGGGTGACTGGGAAAAAGACTGAGCATGAACTATAATGGGTAAGTCTGGAAGAGAAGCTGGTTTTGTGGAAGAAAGATAGGTATTGTTTCCTGTGTTTTGATTATGTTAAGATTTCAGACTTAAGGTTGATTAGGACGAAATGGTTCTCAGACTCAGGTTTGAAAATAAGCCACCTTTGTCATCACCTCATCAAATTTGGTATCCCCAGCAGTGAGACACAGTGTCAGAGTTCCCACTCCTAAATAAAGCTGTTTCAGATGCTTAGTGCAAAAATGAAGGTCTTGGTGATCAAACCAAATTTGAGCCCATTTGTGTATTTGAGGATTGAGGCAAACCATGCTAAATAGGACAGGAAATTTGTGGAAGAGTTGGGAAACTGGAAATAATGCCTGTTTAAATAGAAAAACTTTTTGGAAATTTGAGAGTGTATTTTTTTAATTTGTAGGCACCAAAGATGTTACAAAGAAATGTAATCTCAGAAAACAAATTTCTAGCTACATGGATAGAGCAGAAATAGTGAAGAAATACACGGATCAAGAAAAAGAAGGTAAAGAGGCTGTTTTATAGAATGTGTCCATAAGTAAGTGTGACAAAGCCCATTTCATCCAGTGTTTCTGGCTCTGCCTTTTGTAACTCTTTGTGGTCTGGACCATTTATCCCTGGGAGCCTATAGTTTTATTCTGCATTTCCATGTCCCTATATATAACCTATATTCTTAACCCTTTTAGGTGGGGAGGTGATTTTCACACACCCTCTTGAGAATATCTGATGAAAGCTATACATACTTTGCATGCCATTTTAAGGAATTCACTGCAGATCCTTATGAAGCTTATGTGTGGACTGGAGTTGAAATAATACTACGCAGAAATAGGAAATGTAAATCCTGTATTTTATTTCTGTTTCACTTTCTAAAATGACCAAAATGTTAAAGTAGCTAAGGAAACTCCTGGGACTTCTTTAGGATTTTGCTGTGAACCAAAACATTTCAGGAGTGAAGTATTCCTAATGACTAGAGATGCCACTAGTTGTCCTTCCCTACTTACTATTAATCTACTTATGAGCATCCAGTTTACAAACATATGTCTATAATTGGTCATTACCACCTTTGCCTGGCATAATCCTACTTTTTTTTAGCCAAAGTTACTACTGTCCTCAAAAAACCAGTGCCTCCAGACCTCAGCTGCTCTTCCTTGCTATCCTTATATGGCCCTCCCCTACCTCTTCCTAGTATTCCATATGAGCCCCTACCCTGGGTACCCCCCGCCCCAGCGAGCTCCTCTGTTGAGTGGGAATAAAATTGTATTTCCTTCACCCCAAATTGAAACTCACAATGAAATTTCCTTTTAAAACATTGATGAAATAGAGTACCATCAGCATTGTGGTTTGAATACATCGGGTTAAGTTAACCTTTGTGGGTAGCTTGGCTTGAAAACTGATGCATAGTTGCTAGTAACATCATATCTGTGGAAATACTAGGAAAAAAATCCAAACTACTGTTTTTTAAACAAACTTTAAATTGGCAACCATCACATAAATTAGGAACTACCATTAGGGGTCATGTTTTTAAAAAAATCTTAAAGATCTTTGATAACTTACTCAATAATCATTCGTTTTGAATGAACAAAAACTATGGAACTGTTTTACTGACCCTGTGCAATCCTAGTCTTGGGTTGTTAAGAAGTGCTAAAATTACTACTTAAAGTACTCTATGGGGCATCTGGGTGGCTCGGTTGTCTGTGTGTCCAACTTCGGGTCAGGTCATGATCTCACAGCTCATGAATTCGAGCCCCACATCAACTCTCTGCTGTCAGCATGGAGCTGGCTTTGGTTCCTGTCTCCTTGTCTTCCCCTCTCCAGCTCCTGGTTTCTCTCTGTCTAAAAAATAAATAAAAACATCAAAAAAAATTTAAATACTTTATAAGTTCTAAGAAAGCCTTCTAAATTCCATGTATTCATATGTTTAATACTTTAGCCGTTAAATTGCAGGACACAGAAGGACTTATATCTGAAGAGAAGGACCACATAGCCACCGAGTTATATAGCTTATGGTTCTACTCATGGTGACAGAATTATCAGCTTTCATTATACATATAGACTTCTCTTGAATAAACTGCCTGGTCTATAGGATTCAGCTCAAGAACCTCTTCCAAGAAATCTCTGGACTTTTCCCATTTGACCTCCATGAAGGCAGAACTCACTTATGGAATTCTTTGCCTTATTTATTTCTGTACATATAGCATCTTGCATTGTGCCTCGTATATATGTAGGAGGCATTCAGAAATGTTTGCTGAGTGGAGGAGTTAAAAAAATTAACTTGTATCTGATCCTGATTAATCACTATATGTAAATAGTATAAAAAGAAAATAAATTGTCACTGGTTTTATTATTGAAACTTGTGTTTTTTAGATGGAAAATATCATCGGCAGATTAAAATAGAAGAGAATGCAACAGGTTTCAGTTACGAGTCACTTTTTCAAGAATATCTTAATGAAACAGTCACAGAAGTTTGGATACAAGATCCTTATATTAGACAGATTCATCAGGTAGGTGAAATGCAGAAAAATATGATGAAATGTTACTTAAAATGTATGAGTTAGTAATAACCCATCATGATGTCTTTCAGCTGTATAACTTTCTTCGATTTTGTGAGATGCTTATTAAGAGACCATGTAAAGTAAAAACCATTCATCTTCTCACCTCTCTGGATGAAGTAGGTATCTGGAAGCATTTACTCTTTCTTCATGAATTTTGTTTAGCTAGGAGATGTAGTTTGAGCAAGGAAATGTGGACACAGTGCTTCAGCTAGAGCTATTTCTTTGGGAATTGTACAACAATAGGCCTAAAATACCTTCAGAAAAATGCTATTGACTTTTCTGATTTTGTTGTATCTTACATTTGGCTACTTTGCTAAACTATAATTCAAATAGTTTGTCAGTTTAGTTTCTTGGATGTTCTAGGAGATGATCACACTGTCTGCACTATTGACAATTTTGTCTCTTTACCAATGATTATATCTTTTTCTTGATTTACTGTATTGGCTTTCTGGTGGATCATAGCATGATAGTGAGCATCTCTATCTTGATTTTGATTTAAATAGGAATGCTTCTAAATAAACCAGAATTTTAAGATTAACTTGAAGAAAGCACCCCATCTTAATAACTAAATAGCATTACGAAAACACATTTTAGGAGATAGGATAGAATTGTGTTATGTGTACATTAGAAAAAAACAATTATTTTGATAAAAACAACTGCCATTAAACTGCTTAATACTTTTATTGCTTCTTTGAGATAATAGACATTGAAACTAGTATAGAATCTTTCCCATTTTATCTGATACACATTGTGTAGCTTAATGATAATTTAAAATAGTAATAACTGAACAGAAAATCATATTTTTCCTATTAACAGGGTAGTGGGAAAGAGCAGCAAAGTAGTGGCCTGCAAGAAATAAAAGAGTCACTCAAGAATCATGGAGTGCTGTTGGAATTAGAATATTCTTCTTCAGTACATGACCGAGAAATTAGGTTAGTTATAGCAGTATTTTAATTTTTATGCAGTTGAATATACTTACTTATTTTAACGCAATATAATTGCATATAAATATTCAGTTTATTAAAATTTTAAATAAAGCACAATTTTAGTATCTTTTCACTTTTTAGGAAAAAATCTGGCTTATTATATCTGAGTTTCATATCTCTTAATGGAATAGTTTACATGTTCTGTTTCACGTGAGAAGAGGAAGTACTTTTCTATTCAAGCATACATATAGTGTTGGGGTATTAGGATAATTTTCTGGTGGTAATATTTAATATTCTGATGATTTTAGTATTCACTTATATTTTATGAAATAATCTCATAGGCATGACAGTACGCAGCAGTGTCTACAAGGAGACAGTATATGCAGGTATTTTAGTAATATGTTCCTCTGTTTCGCACAGTAGCTTTCATATGTTTATAGTGAGTGCACCTTTAGTTTTAATGAAAACTTAAGCACAACCTACATGCAAAACAGCTGAAAATGCTGCTGCTGTGGTTGAAGCAGAGGTCGGGGTCCAGAGTTCATCCTGTGTATGTCCTCCATCTCTAGGTAGGGGAACCCCTGCAACGCACCATAGCCTGACCTGAATACATTTAGCAGAACAGGAAAGTTTTATCAGAGGTCTGAAATTCAAGAATAAGATATAATTTACTTGATAAACTTGTTACCATCTAATCAAACCAACTAATGGTTTCTTTGGACATTTTATTTCATTGTAGACACGGCCCATGAATAACTCCAAGTTTGGTTCAACTCATGCCACTGGAGAAAATGATTTTCTTTGTTAGGGGGAAATTTTGCTGACACTTACTACACTACATCTTTGATAACTGTCTGACTTAAATGTCTGGAATATAATACTGTATACTATTTCAATAGGTTTAACAATGGATGGATGATTAAGATTGGAAGGGGACTTGATTATTTTAAGAAACCACAGGTAAGATATAGTCTTATGAGTAAGTATGTTGTACTTTTTGTAACATTTTAACAAATGGCTTTGGACTTTTTTATTAAAAAAAACAAAACACCTCTTTTCTTCTCTTCTTAGAGTCGTTTTTCCCTTGGATATTGTGATTTTGATTTAAGACCATGTCATGAAACAACGGTGGACATTTTTCATAACAAGCACACAAAAAAAATATGATGGGCAGTAACTTAATTTGCATTATATATTTATATTTTAAGTGAATATTGATTTTGGGTTTTTTTTTTTTGTTTTTTTTTTACTTTGGACAGATCATTTCTATAATTATGTATTCAATAATAAATTTTTACATTTCTACTAATTTATGGATTCATTGTTCAGTTATGTAACCAATCCTAAATATTTTTTATAAATATATTATTTAGTGGATTTACAGGATTTCTAGTCATATGATTAATTTAAACATTTTACCAGCTTTTCTCTTAATTTGACTATTGGGGAATGAATCAATAAACAATGAGAACCTATTAGGAAGATAAATTGAATGTTAATCTTGCCCCTGGGTAAGATATAAAGAGTCCAGGAGGAAAAAATCATGGATTAGAGTACTCTTTTTTTTTTTTTAAAGTTTTTTTTTTTTTTAACGTTTATTTCCTTTTGAGACAGAGACAGAGAGAGACAGAGCATGAATGGGGGAGGGTCAGAGAGAGAGAGGGAGACACAGAATCCGAAACAGGCTCCAGGCTCTGAGCTGTCAGCACAGAGCCCGACGCAGGGCTCAAACTCACGAACCGTGAGATCATGACCTGAGCCAAAGTCAGACGCTTACCCGACTGAGCCACCCAGGCGCCCCTAGAGTACTCTTAAAAGACAGATGGGCTTGGGGCACTTGGGTGGCTCAGTCGGTTAGCATCTGACTTCAGCTCAGGTCATGGTCTTGCCCTTCCCGAGTTCAAGCCCCACATCAGGCTCTGTGCTGACAGCTCAGAGCCTGGAGCCTGTTTCAGATTCTGTGTCCTCCTTTCTCTCTGCCCCTCCCCAATTCACGCTCTGTCTCTCTCAAAAATAAACATTAAAAAAAAAATTTAAAAAAAAAGAGAGAGATGGGCTTGTAGTTCTAATAACCAAGGAAAAAATACTAATTTTATTACAATTAAGTGTTTTTGGCAGAAGTACACTAACCTTGATTTATCCAATATTACCTAACTTCATAAAGGCAAATCATCCCAATTATACAGATGCATTTTGCATCATTTAACCTTGGCTGGCACATTTGTAAAGCTTTGCGTCTTAGAATCAACTATTCTGGTTAAGCTCATCCATCCAGATGCCAGATGACTGGTTGGGGACAAAGACTAGGTTCCATGGAGATAGGCTGGGATTGCAGACTATCACATATGGAGAAGACAGAAGATTACATTCAAGATTAAATAGCATGGAGGACCTAAGCCAGGTAGAAGCCACGGGAATATGATTGGGCAGAGTGGTCCTGGGTGGCTTGGACACCAGATTTATGTTTTACCTGTGGGAACCAGCAGTCACCTGACTGACTTGGCACAAAAGACCAAGAAGGAATTCCAGAGAAGTTCCTAATATTTTTCTTTGATGTGTTCAGGTTCACATGCTGATAATGCTAAACCTGAAAAGACTCAAACCAGTTTGCCAAGTTTTATTATATTGGAATTCAGGGTCTCAGGACAGCACTTGGAACAAGTGTTGGACTTAATCAGAAGTTACTTTCTGCAAAGTATCGTAGCTTAGCTTGCCATCCTGTAGACATAGAGTGGCTTTTCATTCAGGTGAGAACATGTATTAGAACTCCTTATTTTCATGTTAAATAACAACTCTGATTTCTTCTAGAGCATGTGAACTTATCATTATAGAGACTCAGCAATCTATAACTCTGTGAAATTAACTTTTATCCAATCTACATAGGAATCCTGCCTAAGAGATACTGATACTTAAGGGAGAGCACCTAACAGACATGCTATCGATAATACTAGATATTTGAAATCCATCCCCATGTCCAATTAGGACATCAGAAGTCTACCAGATGCAAGTTACTTATTAAATACGTCAAGAAATGTGCAAGAGCTATATGAGAAAACTATAAACTTTATGGAAGAATATAAAAGAAAACTAGGGAAAAACAAATGATATTCTCAAAATGGGAAGGCTTAATAAGATGTCACTTCTCCCTAAGTTAATTTATAAACTAAATGACAAAGACACTTAACACTAGGAGACTTGCTTGACCAGCCAAAAAGACATAAAGCTACAACATATATATTTTTAACTGTATGGACATAAGAATGGACAAAACAGTAGCAAAGAATAAGGAGTCTGGAAACATCTGGGAGAGGAAGTGAATGTGTGTAAGAGCCCTCAACATACAATAAAGGTGTTGTTCATATTAGTGGGGGAAAGAGTAGACTATTCAATAAATGTTTGGAAAAAACATTAGATATCTACCCCACATAGAGGTTATTGTGTTAAAGAGCCAATTAATTAAAAAAAATTATTTTAGCTCCACTAAATGTACTAAGTATTAACATAAAACCCACGAATTATCAAGGAAAGAAAAAAGCAAAAGATGTGATCATGTAAATAGTTAAAACTTGACTAAAGAGACCATGAAAAGTTAAAATGAGATCAAATTTACAGCATACAGAGAAAAGGGTTAATAGTATTAATATATAAGAAAGATACCAGGGGTGCCTGGGTGGCTCAGTAGGTTGAGTGTCTGACTTCAGCTCAGGTCATGATCTCATGTCTCGTGAGTTCAAGCCCCATGTCGGGCTCTGTGCTGACAGCTCAGAGCCCAGAGCCTGCTTCGGATTCTGTGTCTCCCTCTCTCTCTGCCCCTAACCCACTTGCATTCTATCTTCATCTCTCAAAAATAAGTAAACACTAAAAAAAAAAAAAAAAAAAAAAAAAAAAAGAAAGAAACAAAGAAAGAAAAATAGCCAACTTTTCAGGAAGTAAGCTTAATCTTGCCTCTTTAACCTCACCAAGGACTTTGTCCTTTGAGCTATCTCCTTCTCTGCTCTATTGTTGCTGCCAGTACATATATCCCCAACTAGACACCAATTTCTTTGTTCTTCATGAACAAACTTCTTCAAGTTCTCTATTCAATTTTTTCCCATTTTCTACCCACATACTCATACTTAACTTACTTCAACCAGGCTACCCAGTCACTCCACTGAAAATGCTCTTGTCAAGGTCAACAGTGACTTCCATATTACCATATCCAGTGGCTACTTTCTTCCTGTTTCTTGGCCTTTCAGGAGTATTTGACCCAGTTGGCCACTCCCTTCTTGAAACTCTCAAATTCTAAGAAACACATTTTTTTTTTCCTCCTCCATTGGCTTTCTCCTAAATTACATACTAAGTAATAACCTCTTTTTTTAAATTTACACTCTCCCCCAAGTGATTATACCAGTAACTTCTTAGTGAAAAGCAACAGAAACTGCTCTTACCTGATGTAAGCAAAAAAGAGATTATAAAGAATAGTGGGTAGTTCAGTCTATCAACACAAGAGCTACAGACTTGGCCTTGGAGGTTCTGCAGTGGAAAAAAAAAAAAAAAAACACATCTAGAATCACAACACAGAACTAATCAGATGATACCACTGCTGACTCCAATGCAAGGCCTGGCCTGAGTAGCCTTATTATTACTTATATCATTTAAAGTACAGGGCAATACACTGTCAGCCTCAGCACCTTTGCTGCCCCCAGATATTCAAGCTCCTGTCACTACTGCCAGAGAAGGGTTTTCACCATCCCAGGTTCTCTGCATCATGATCCGTTCAGAATCTGAAGCAAGTGTATCTGATTTTCAGAGCCTAAGTCCTGTACCCTCACCCTAGATTCAAGAGAGGTTAGGAAAAGAGTACAGTGAAAATTTCAGTTTCCATAAAGGGGGTGGTGGTGTTGGTTTGCAACTTCTGGAGTTCAAGTGAAATTTCGAAACTGGCCTCCATACACTCAGGGTAAGGAGAGAGTGAAGAAAGAGGCAGACCTCTCCAAATTGGTAGGGGGGGTTAATAAGCAAGGGAACTTACATATGAGGCTTGTCTTGGGTGGCTACAAGATAAGTAATCTCCACACATGCCTTTAGAATCTCAAGAGTTCATGGAGGACCTGATGGGATTCAAGTCACATATACAGTCCAGATGGTCTCAGTAGCCCATTACTCTCTCAAGGCCGAGTCCTTGAGGTGGTTCCCAGTGTGGGAACAGTGGGAAGAACGTATATTCCAAGGACAGGGGGGACAGGAGCCTATGATTGCCCATATCCGGTCTGAGGGTCAACTGGCAGTCACATCCTTTTGATGACCTCTCCAACATCTGGGATCTACCTCCTGCCAAGGTTTATAAGGTGGACAATTCCCCAGACATATTAAGGGGACTGAGATGCTAAACACTTTAAGCTTCAGCTGAATTATAATAGTTCACAATTACCATTTACATGGCTTAAAATATTATTTGTATGCTGTCAACTCCTAAATCTATAAACTAAACCAAAACTTTTACTTGGAGTTGTGATCTCATATATTCAGCTGGCATTTCATCTGGCATCTCAGAAGCACAGGCATTTCAAATACAGTAAAACCTTGGATTGTAACTTGTTCTGTGAGCATTCTTCAAGATGAGTGAACATTCTGATAAGTTTTAACTCAATAAGCGTGTGATATCTTGCAATACAAGTACTACGTGATGCCGAACGTCACATGATCACTCTCTTGCTGTGGGGTTGTGGGTGATTGTCTCCTATGCTTGGATACTTGGTCTCAGGCCACGGTGTTGGGCAGAAATCAGTGATTTTTCAAAATGTTGGAAAGTGCCTACAACTGGCATTAGTTATTTTATGTCACCTCAAAGCACATGGACAGTCCTTTGCTTTTCCATACAGGAGTAAGCTTAGGAATGCTTTGCTTCATTCTAGGTCAGGCTGCCTGCAGATACAGACCCTTTCCTCTGCTGCCTTATTGCCAGTTACATTACATACAGTATGACAAGAGTTTATTAACACTGTACTGTAGCCAACAGCCGTGTGAAATGTATACAATGGCAGAAAGAGGTTGAAAAGAAAGATGGTAAGGAGGAGATGATTACAGTGGAAAAGGTTAAGAAGGAAATCATCAAGAAGTACGGACAAGGTATGTGAGTGGCCGAAATTGCAAGATTTTATAAGAAGTCTATGTCTGCATCTTGTCTG